AACAGGGTTTTGCCATATTGGCCAGACTGGTCTCAAACTCCTGACCTCAGGTGATCCGCCCACCTCAGCCTCCCAAAGTGCTGGGATTACAGGTGTGAGCCACCGCGCCCGGCCAGTCTCACCGTTTTGAACAACCCAGATCTCAAGAGAACTTACTCACTCTCACGACACAGCACCAAGAAGGAAATCTACCCTTATGACCCAATCACCTCCCACCAGGCCCCACCTCCAACACTGGAGATTACAATGACTTGGGATTTGGGCAGGGACCCAGATCCAAACCATATCAGGGCCCCACAGCAATCAAGGCTCTCCTTCAAGTTTCCTTGGGCTGTGTCACCTGCCAGTTAAGGCCTGTGATGACCTGTGGACCATTTAAAAAATATTTTTCCCCCAAGATAATTGCAATCTGGGAATGGAGTGTGGAAAGGCATGCCCTGGGCCATTCCAACTTCCAGCTTCTCAACCTTCAGTCATGGACTTTGTCTTATTTCACTGCATTTAGGAAAGGCAGGAGGATGTTATTTCTCAAATGATGGGACATCCCCAAAGCAGCCAGGGATACTCAGGCCTCAGCCTTGTTTCTTAAACAAAAGTGATTCTAAGTCTGGCACAAAATGTCACACTTTGAGCTTCTACTGTGACCCCTTCCCTCCTGCACTGGCCACATGGTGGGATTCCCCACATCACAGTCACAGGGGTCAGGAACCCATTCTCTCAGGCTGCTTCTCCTGCAGGATCCTGCCTACCTAAGCCCCCTCTCTAACAGAAGAAAGAAACTCCACGACAGAGAAACGAGGATTGAGGCCCAATACGTTTTATGAGATGCTATTCTCACATTTCCAGTTGTGGGGAAGTCGAGTTATTTGGGAGACTAGTGTGGACGTTGTCCTTCTCAGAATACATGCATACTTAGGGGATTTCTAGATGAACTTTTGTTAATCTAGATTGGATTGCGCTCTTGATTGGAACCTGACTCACCTGTCTAACGAGCTGTGTGGTGCACGTGGGTGCCGCTCACACTCACCTGCCCCTAAGGGCACTGCTCCACCCCTTGAAGTCTGGGGTGACCATGTGATCTGCTTCAGCCAATGACATGAACACTGTCATTTTGGGGCAGAAGCCCCAGGGCAGGGGACTCCTTGCTGTCCTCTCTGGCTGTGTCCCTCTGTGGCGGAACCTCTGCTCACCTGGGTTCCAAGTGAAAAGGAGGACATGGAGCATGTGTGAGAAACACACCTGAGCTGTTTGGAGCCATGGAGATTCAGAGAGGTTCAAACTCCAGCGCAGGCCATCCACACTGCTACAGAAGATGAATTATTTCCTACTGCTCTTTTCCCCAGAAAATGTAATACTTGTTGATGTTAAAATGAATTTTTTGCCTTGCAGCTGATCACTCAGATACTTCAAATTTCATTTTATCAAATTCTTTCCAGCACCTGTTCTTCGTCTCGCTTTAGTTTTAGAGGGATAAGGAGGCTTTGTTCCTTTTTAACATTCTCGTGGAAATATTATGGATATTCAGAAGTGGTTTTTCCATCGGTTTTATCAATACAGCTACTATGAAGAAAATCCTCCTGAAACTCATTCTGATTCAAGGCCAGCCAATGATCACTTTGCCATAGCCCTTGTTCTGTCTCCACCAAAACACAGGGACATCTGAGGACAATCCTTGAGTCAGTTTTCCTTTAGCTGCCCATCCCATTTTGTCACTTGAATTTATTTTTTCTAAGGCGGGCTTTCTCAACCTGGACACGACAGGGATTCTGGTCTATTTCTTTCTGGTGTGGGTGCCATGTGTGCACTGTTGGAGGGTTAGCAGCACCTTCTCTTCCCCTAGTCAGGAAAACCCACAATACCTCCTGCAGATCTCAGTTGAGAACCACTGTTCTGAACCAAACACATTCATTTTGCCCTTCCATGTGATTTTTTTGATGAATATCACAATGTAGAAAAAGATATTTGGCTACCTTTGCTAAAAAAAAACAAAAAACAAAAAACAAAAAACAAAAAAACAGAAAAAGAAAAAAGAAAAAAAAGACTTTGTTTTTTGATTTATCATTTATTGAAGGCCACCTGTCCTGCCATCCATGAGCATTTCTTACATGTCAGGAAGCATGTTAAATGTTGACTTTTCATTCATCTGTTCATTCTTTGCACACACATCTATAATGGAATGAGCACGTGCTGTCTGCCAGGCACTGTTCCAAGCATTAGATGCGTGGTGGGGAATCGACGGGTGAGGCTCTGTCTTCACAGAGCTCAGAGCCTACTGGGGAACTCATTAAAGAAACACACAAGCAAATCTATCATTGCAAATGATAGTAGGTGCCATAAAGGAGAAAAGAGGATGTTTCCGTGGCTGGAGAAGAGGTGACATTTCAGCTGACACAGGAAGGAGTAAGCCCAGGGCACAGCAGGGAGACATTCTTTGAGTCCACCACGCACACGTGGTCCTCTACCACAAAGAAACAGGTAGCCCAGAATGCCAATCGTGCCCCGAATGAGAAAGCCTGGCTTAGTAAAAGCTAATTCAAGTGACAAAATGGTACAGGCAGCAAAAGGAAAACTGACTCAAGCAATGTCTTCAAGGCAGCGCAGCAGAAACCCGCCGGGCAGTGGCAGGAAAGGACTGGTGCATTTCAGGACGCAGAAGGGCCAGTGTGGCTGGAACACAGAGGGCAAGGGAGGGAACGATGGTGGAGAGGTCGCGGGAGCCAACGCTGGTCAGAGGATGTGCTGCCACAAAGACAGCCCGGCAACAGCCATCAACAAATGCACCATGCCTTCAGTCCCACGACCTCTGGCCCTTGGGCCTCCTGGCCACCCCAGGGTCCCTGCCTCCTGCCCTGCCCATTCAGTAGCACTGCTCGCCCTTCCCTAGAACACTAGGGAGCCAAGAAGCCACTGCAGGGAAGGGTTGGCTGCATTTGCTCCATTTCTTTGCCAGTTTGCTGAGAAACAGGATTCTCCTGGCTAACCTAGTACAATTTTAGTAATTGGCCCTAATCCTCAAAGCTTCTCATTCCGGAGAACAAAAATATATCCTGTTCTACTACAGCAGCGGTCCCCAACCTTTTTGGCACCAGGGACTGATTTCAGGGAGGAAAATTTTTCCATGGACCGGGGTAGGGGATGGTTTCAGGATGATTCGAGGGCATTACATTTATCGTGCATTTTATTTCTATTACTGTTACATTGTAATATATAGCGAAATAATTATACAACCCACCATAACGTAGAATCAGTGGGAGCCTGAGGTTGTTTTCCTGCAACTAGATGATCCCATCAGGGGAAGATGGGAGACAGTGACAGATCATCAGGCATTAGATTCTCATAAAGAGGGTGGCCCCTGGATCCCTCACATGCACAGTTCACAACAGGGATCACGCTCCTATGAGAATCTAATGGTGCTGCTGATCTGGCAGGAGCTGGAGCTCAGGTGGTAATGCGGGCGATGGGGAACAGCTGTAAAAACAGATGAAGCTTTGTGCGCTCACCCGCCGCTCACCTGCTGCTGTGCAGCCTGGTTCCTAACAGGCCACAAACTGCACCGGGGCTGAGGACCTGGGGTTTGGGGACCCCTGACCTACAGGACTGGGTGTAATTCACAGAACATTTTTGATCCTTATTTCCAAGCAGCCTTTGGGAGCCCACATGCCATTCTGAAAACTTCAGACTTTCTCCCTGTGTCAAGAATGGCAGGGACAAATAAAGGATGCAGCAATGCTTACTCCGAATGTGAGCAGAATCCCAAGCTTGGGACCACGGGGACTGTGTTAAGTCATTGTTTTCTATGGGGTTTGGTTTACGTCAACAGCCACAAACAGGGGCAGTCATCATCCCTCCTGGGCGTCACTGTAACTGTGGGTAGGACTGTGTCCCCAGAAATATCTGAAGTCCTAACCCCTGGTATTTCTGATTCTGACCTTATTTGGAAACAGGGTATTTGGATGTAGTCAAGGGAAGATGAGGACCTGCTGGAGGAGAGTGGGCCCTCATCTAACTGCTGGTACCTCCTAAGGAGAAGGAGATTGAGACAGAGACTCGCATGAGGAGAAGGCCTGTGATGATGAAGGCAGAACTTGGAGCGACGCAGTTACAGCTGACCAGTGCCAGGGACCACCAGCAACACATGCAAAGGAAAAGGCACGGGGCAGATTCTCCCCTGCAGTCTTCAGAGGGGGTGGCCACGCCAACACCGTGACATCAGGCTTGCAGCTCCCAGCACTAAGCTATGAGAATACATTCACGTTGTTGAAAGCCACCCAGTTTGTGCTACAGCAGCCCTAGGATGTGAACGTCGGTACCTTCATAAAGTGTGCCAGTCACTTTTCTCAAAGGAAAAAAAAATAAAACAGGTTCTGAAATGAGTTAGGAATCTTGATGAAACCAAAGAAGGAGTTCCAATGTCACTTCGGTGGCAGGTTTCAAAAACTTCTGAAACTGAAACAGCCTTTTTTTTTTTTTTTTAATCGTTACTGCATATCTGAATCACAAGAACTACAGTGATCAAATACAATACTGGCTGATTAAAATGACGGCAGGTTTCCATTTAGTGGAAGTCAAGTGGAATCTATAATTTTGTTTAAGCCAATTAAACTAGAAGCCACCAGGATGAAGCAATATCCATCCTACCATGGGATTAATTCTTCCGTGACAACAGAAAAATGCAAGATGTCAAAGGAATACATTAGCTCTGTGGGCACGAAACACCTCCGAATCAGTGTTCCAGACTTAGTTCCCTCTGGTAAGGGTTATAAAAATACTTGGTGCTATTTTAGAGCATCTATAAAAGGGCTATTGATTTTTTTTTTTTTTTTAAGATTTCTACTTTTAAGTGCAAGCTGAAGGAACATGCATAAAACATTTCAATATACAATTTGTAACAAATTTCTGGTTCTGCAAACATCACATGCTAAAAAAACGTGTTTACAACGTTGCAGGTAGGTGCAAGGAAAGAGGAAAATAAGAAAAATTGCTTTTTGTTTGCTTTTTACCTTGCCTTTGTCGAAGTAGTGGATGATTTCCTGGTAGAGCTGCTCCTTCAGCTGTCCCTGCGTGGTGGCCTGGTACCCGTCCCGCTGGGTGAGGTGGGCCACACACACATCCTCCGACCACTAAGGGAGAAGCAGAGCATGAGCGGCCCCGAGGCAGACACACCCAAGGACATCAGAATGGTGTGAGCTTCGCATCGGACACGTGTGGGGGCCGCGGTTCTGGAGACACGTGTGGCTGCTGTCAACAGGCTGGGGATTGCCAGGGCAGAGCCTCTGTCTGGACACACCGACAGGCATAAAAGACGTGGGGGAGGCAGAGCTGCAGTGGGGTTCACACAAAAGAAAAACCCAGCAGGTTCTGGAAAGCACAGAACTGGCAGCTTGCAAATACCACCTCCTAATACCCTGGGACAAATCAGGAACCAGGTGATCCAGGGCCATCCCAAGGGTGGCACCCCAGGGCTCTGGTCTCAGTGTTGCGTGGGTTGGCATTTTAATCAACAGCAAAGACAGTATATGGAAAGGGACCGGAAAGGCTGTCAAGCTCCTTAAGGATGGGGAGGTGTCTGCACCATCAGCCATAGGCATGGTGCTGGGCACAGAGTCAGGGCTTGGCCAGTATTCCTGGAAGCATTGGTGCAGTTGGCGTGTGAGCTGACACGCCAGAGGGAAGGCAAGGCCACTTGACAGATACAACGTGTCAGCTCCTGAACTTGGGCTCAACACATCAGTGGCATTAAGTATAGGGTTCAATAAAATTCAGCAGCTATTTGATGAGGACCTGCTGTGTGCCTCGAGCTGGGTCAAAGAGGAGGTGGAAGACGCCTGACCCCCAGGATGGTGCAATTCTACATTAGAGCATAATGACACAGGACAACACTGTGTGAGCTAGGATCGGGCCGCTGGACTCCAGCCTGGACAAGAGAGCAAGACCCTTCTCCAAGAAGAAGAAGAAAAACAGAACAAGAAAAAGAACACTGCAAAAAAAGACTCCATGAGCACCTAAGGGCAGGAGGCATGTGCTCCCACTGGGCAGCCTGGAGGCTCACGGGAGGACAGGGTGAGCATGCGCTTGCTTACTGCTGGTCCCAGGAGAGGGAGCTTGACCCTGTTTTCAGCCAGGCCATGGAGGGTGCTGCAAATAAGGCACTAAGTGGGAAGCTGGGGTCTGGGCAATGGGGCAAGGCTCCGTCAGCTGCTTACTGTCTTAGCACATGCCCCTCCCCACTTTCCTGAAACCACGGGCCGGGGGGCACCTCCTGCTAGACATCAGGTCTCCCAGGCACTGGGCATGGGTCCTGAATGGCTCCCCCTTTCCAGGAAGGTCAGGCAGGAGTGAGAAGCCTTTAGTGGTCTGCAAAGTTTTTCACCTTAAAATTAAACTTGCATATCTCCATCACAATTGGACAAACTCTGTAACTTTGAAGTTTGTACAACATAATTGGTCTACTTTTATTGGAGGATGGAGAATAAAAGTAAAACTAGATTCTGAAATGTAACCACAATAAAATAAATTAAGAACAAGCAGGTTCAGAATCCAAATGACTTCTTTGCATTTTTAAATCAGGTTTGCAAATGAAAACATTGACTAGGGAAGGAAAAATCCTCTCTACCTTCCACTTCCACATGGAGATGTAATAATTTGATTGCTAGGTGAAAAACTAAAGCTTTAATCACTCTTGGTTTTGACGAAAGATATGCCTAACCAAAAAAGATTCTATTTGAGGATTTTCAGTTAACAAACAATAATATATCTGTCATACTGAAGAATTTTCACAACGATACAAATCATGTCCTTTGGTGAGTTGATTAAATAGCATGAATTCACATTTACAGTAATATCAAAACATACTTAGAAAAAATTGCAAAATGTAATGGGGCAAAAGATATGGAGAGAGATTATGTAGAATTCACCATTAAACTGGAAAATTCAGAAGCCCAGGGGAAATGATAATGCAATTGGGCCTATCGATTTGAGCTGTGAAACAAACCATCATGCAGTTTGTGACAAACCCATCTGTACTCAATAAATCCAATGATTAAACAAATGATGCTTTTATGCACATATATATGTTTTACATTCACACACGCATATAAAAGTTTACATTCTGTGAGAGACGGAGTAAGGGTTGAGTGAACAGTTTGTCAACCCCATTTTAATTTCCCTGGGGTAAAAGAAATATCTTCACATTTGCAAAAACACCTTGTTACTGAAATTTGAGTTTCGAATAAATGAAGGCCGTCAGAATTCAGAGTGTGAGAGCTGGTATGAGATGTACCAACTGAAATCTCCATCCTCATAAATTATGCTCCTTGGGAGAGCCTTACGTGGCACGGGGCCAAATGGGTCCTCAGCCAGCCAGCCTCAGGAGGACAACTGATGAGGCCTCCAGACTGAGCTGAGCTCTGTGTGTTTATTTGTAACAGACACTGCTGTTTCCAGGCAGAGGCCAACTTCCATTCCCAAATGTCTCTAGGGCAGCTTGTGTATATCTGTGTCACAGAAGCTAGCAGAAATTTCAGCATCGAGCCAAAGATGGAAAGAGTCTTACCAGAGTTTTACTTTATAACACAATATCTTCCTGAACTCCTATTACCTGACACTACTTAATACCCATTTAGTGTAATTTTCTCTGGTTCTCTTTCATTACATTTTTGGTTTTAGGAGGCTGGCCTAGATTTGGAAACATGACTCCTTGAATGAGTAGTCTTGCGGAATGCCACCAAACTAAATTCTAATTCTTGTAACTGTTCTTATTCATCCAGTTCATAATTTTTCAAATTTTTACAAGGATGTCATGAGCAAGATCATCTAATAACTTGCTGAAGTTGTGAAATATAAAACTAGAGGCTGTACAGCAATTTATCCATCCATCCATCCATCCATCCATCCATCCATCCATCCATCACTGTAAACAAAGGAAGTCAATGTCTGAAGCTATTTGAATAATAAAAGGACCACTAAGAGTTGACAGTTGTCATGCCAGACCTGTGCTAGGAGCAATACTCTTTAGAAGAATCAGGCAGAGAGCGCTAGCAGAAGGTCTCAACGTGAACTGATAGAGTGAAAAGTCATGATCTGGTCCCTAACTCTTTACTAAGACAATTAGGGGTGTGTCTCACCCTATCTCTTAGTTGTTCTACCAGGAAAATTCCTTCTTGATATTGTTCTTCACTGTCCTGGAGTCCTCTAGTCCTGAACAAGGAATTGTAGAATCTCTAACTTGCTGTCAGCTCACAGCCAAGGATGGGAGTTTACAATGCTTAGTGATCACCTGCTACAACATCTAATTAAATCTGCATTCAGAAGGGACAAATCTCTAACGAAAGTACATCCTAAATTTTTTTGATTGTATCCTTGCATTTATTTAGTCAATTTCATAAAACCTTAAGTTATACTTACTAAAATTTGTCATGGAAAAATGAAATTCTCAATACTCTTAGAATGTATAACAATGGAATCGTCATGTAATTGACATTACCTTAAGAAGCTTTGCATGGAGAAGCAAGGTGTAGGCCGCCTCGGTGTAGTTATCACACTCCTTGTGCAGGTCACAGAGCTTGTACAAATACCTGAGACAAGAAGACAGAGGTATGTTCTTCAAATGTCACTAAATAATTTGTGTTGAGGATTGCAAGAGCTAAATTCTATGTTCAACAGTAAATCACAGCTATACTTTCTTTTTACAATGTTCATAATTCATCATGCCTTAAAAACTTTTGGTACAGAAAGCACTAAGAAAAACTCAGGAAAAAGATAAAGATGATACACAAAGGTAGAATTTTCCTTTAAATTTCTCATTCCTTTTCATTTTCCCTTAAACATTTTTAATGAGACACCCAATGCTTGATTGTGATTTCCTACATTTCTACTGAGTCCAAATGCACAACGAAATCTGTAAAACTACAAATCCATCAGAATAAAGAGCTCCAATGGTTACAGTCAACGTGATCAAAAGAATTTCTTTGCCATAAAGAAATACAGGTAACTGAGTTATTGAATTCATATAGTATGTTTTTAAAAAGGAGAAATAAAAAAACCTAGAAATAGAAAATTAGACAACCACACTCAATGTAATAAACACATCACTAAAAACTCATGCTGCGTAGGTTACATCCTTCTCCTAGTGTCCGGAGTGGTAATCTTCCTAATTATTTGACACTAGACTTTAGAAGTAACCAAGAGAGAGGGGCTCAATCACAGTCCCTCACTTCAGGGAGCAAGGTGAGTAGGGAAGCAAAATCCAGCAGGCAATGCAAAACATTTCTCTTCTTCATGGAAGAAAGACATAAAAAACATGGGACTAGGGCATCCGTTAACTAACAGCACACCGAAAAATTATCACTCACCTATGTCTGGTAAAGTTATAACTGGATTTCTCACTGGATCATATAACTTACTGTGAAACATTAAAATGTATGTGCTTATCTTTTTGCAAAAGGGCCACAAGAGTTGGTCAACAGGGACAAAACACTGTGAAACAATTATTAGTAGTTTTGCTTCTGAGTTGACGAAAGGTGACCACCAAGAACTCAGCACCAGTCTGGACAACACGAGGGCTGCACGAGGGCTGAGAATGTATCCAGGAGCTCCACCAAACTCTACCTTATACGTTTCGCAATTTTCTACAAAATAAACCTCTGTGGCTATAACACATTTCTCAGCATAGGTAAACATACAACATATATTATTATTTATAATTAACATGCAAACAAGTGTGATGCATACATACCTTATGTACATTTCTTCTCTTTCAATTTCTTTGTAGAAATTCTGAAAAACCATAATACTGTCTTAAGAAATCTGTTCCACAAAAGGTGTCACATGCACATTAAAAATTCAAGATACTTCATCTTCTGTCAAACACGGCCAAATGGACCCAGCTCTTCGGATCAGAACCATAAATTCACATAAATTGCAAAACCATCTTACACGGTTCTTCACTTTTATTTTTTGCTAGTCAAACACAATTCCATTTCTACACTGAACACTGTAACGACTAAAATCAACTCCTATCACTTGAAAGTCACTTGTCTTTAGTTAAAACAAAGTATTACCCAAAAAGACATGAAGATGTGATATCTTAGCCAGAGTAATCTTATGAGAACAAACGAATACATAAATAAATATCCCAAATTTGGGAATAAGCAAATAAGTATCATCAACATGATTTAAAGCTTTCTGGGCCCAGCCTCAGCAAAAAAGACAATATGATAATATAGATCTGAGGTATGAATACACTAGCCAATATATTAAAGACATATATTAAAAGGTAAAGTAAATTTAATTAACACTGAATAAATAATTCACTTCCCCCAGCTGCACTTGCCACGCTTGGAATGCTCAACAGCCTCAAGGGGCTAGTGTTACTGTATCAAACAGTGTAGACACAAGACCGTTCCATTATCCCAGAACTTTCTGGTAGATAGCACTGTTCCAGGCAGACAAACCTTCCAAACCACGGTTAAAAACAAAAATGGGCTGCCTCTGAAAAAGATCCCTGTGTATACACACTGATGGAGAAAGCTTAGTTAATAGATTAAAACCAATGGATTATTTCTACATCTTTACTGGAAAATATCGTCTGGTTGAGCAACAATATTTCTATCAAAATTATATTTCTTAAGGTGAACATCTCCATAAACACTTTAAAACCTTTTACACACAGGAGCCACCAGAAGGGCACAGAAGTCACCTAACAAGGCCTAAGGTAAGGAAACATCAGAGTCACTTTCAATGTGCAATTTAGCACCTAAAAACGATGTTAGTTCTCTAGAATTGGAGCCTGAAGTAACTAGTGAATATCACCATTACAGAGACATACAATTATCCAAGAAAATGGCGTAGGCTCTTTAATTTCATGAGCAAAACCCAGCATTGCTTCTACAATTGATGTCTCTGAAAAGAAATGATAACTAAGTCTAGAAAATAAGCGGGGGCACATTTAGAAAAATGCACCAAGATTTTCAAGTTTCGTTGCCTCTGACATTTTAATGTCCTCCAGTTCATATGACACGGCTCAGTAATGAGGATATTTTCAGCAGACAACTCAGCGTCGCAACAAAGAGAATCTGCATCAAAGGCAGACGATAAGTCCTTCATTTCCAACTCAATCTCGCCAGTATTTACAAGCCAGGGTTTCACACCAGCCCCTTCTCTACTCGTATTTTTAATCCTTTCTCAGGTTTTGATCATTTTTCTTTACAATTTCACAACGGGAATATCATGCGACCTTCATTCCTCTCTCGGAGATACGAAATGTCTTCTATTTTCTGCCTGTGCTGAGTCCTGTTCCCTTCCTAGGACTTCAAAACCTCTCCACAACCGAAGTACACTCATCTCCAATCCCAATTTCTATATAAAACCTCTGTGTTTCTTACGTAAAGGTCCACGCGGTGCTCCCACTCCTCCTGGACTCCGCGGGCAGCCGTGTCTCTCAAGTCCCCCCACACCAGGGCTGACTGACGTCGGTGCCAAGCTTGCAGCTCAGCTCCCAGAGGAACCCCATTGGGACCGGCCCCCCAACTCCAATCCACCGCTAGGCATTGATCTTTCAGAACGCCGACATCAGAATTATATTTCCATTTTGGACTAAAACAGATACCAAGATTTTAAAAATACCGGACCCCACTCTGCATTTAATTACCCTTGTCACGGGGCCATGAAGAGAAGTAACCGGCATCTGCAAAGTAATGACAAGTCTACCCGTCTCAGAGATGGGATGTGTGGATGACTGCACAGAAGAACTAAGTGACACTCAGCAACGTTAGTGACCAATAATTAAAGATGCTCGATTATGAGGTGTCAGTGAAATCCTAGTTAAAGAATTACAAATATATATCCAAGATCCAATATACATGCAGATATCCTTGCAGGGGATGTCTTGGGGACTTAGGTGGCCAAGGAGCGTGACTGCTCGCATCTCTTGCTTTTTCATTTTCATTTTTCTTCTTTCGTTGTTGAGACAGAGTCTACCTCTGCTGCCCAGGCTGAAGTGCAGTGGTGTGATCTGGGCTCACTGCAACCTCTGCCTCCCAGGTTCAAGCTATTCTCTTGCCTCAGCCTCCCGAGTAGCTGGGATTACAGGCACCAACACCACACCCAGCTAATTTTTGTATTTTTAGTAGAGACAGGGTTTTACCATGTTGGCCAGGCTGGTCTCAAACTCCTGACTTCAAGTGATCCTCCCTCCTTGGCCTCACAAAGTGCAATAGGTGTGAGCCACTGTACTCGATCCCATTTTTGTTCTTTTAAGGGCAAAAAAATAGGACGTGAAGGAGCTCACACAGCTTACAATGTTCCACTAACTGTGTTTTGGTAAGAAACCACAAAGCTGGTTCTAAAGAAAACTTGGCAACAGACTTAAAGAGCATCAGTAAATTCTATATTCATTTTATTTATTTAATTTTTTAACTTTAGGCTTCATTTTTCCTTAGTGACTAAAAGAGTATATTTTATACATCTCTAATATCTATACATCTATATTCATTTAGAGATGGTTATACATACCCATCCCTATTAAACTCTGCTGCTGTAATAAAAGTACCAGGAGGAAAGGGAAAACCTGACCAGGAAATGGAGCTGGGCGGTGAGTATTTATGGTTAGGACACCTAGCTACCTATCTTTAAAACTCTGGTTTCTTGTTTCTCTTTATTCCACAGATTTATTTTCTAAATGAAAAAACGGTGACCGTTGGGATCCATTTTACCATCCCCAGGAAATGGTTAAGAACATAACACTTGACTTTTCACTAAATGACTCAGGACATTCCCATTTGAAGAAAGTTAATAATGTCAGATAATCTTGAGAACCCTGGGTGTATATCTTAGTTAAAACTGAGCAAGTGCCGACCACAGTAACAGTACATGGGCACTGAGGCAGGCTCTGAATGAAAGAGGAACACAAGTTCACATTAGAAAGTGTGATTATAGGTTTTAATACAAGAGTTTTTTTTCCTGACCCTAGATTCAGGTGATAAGAGCCCATATTCAGAGCACACCACCATTTCTCTACTGTTCCACGTCCTGGTGAACCTAAGAGATCTTGCTTAAAACAAATAGAAGACTCAATCATCAAAGTCGGAAAACTAAAAAACTTATTGATAATTCTTCCTTCTGGGCACTTATCAGCCTCTTAGATCCCCTTAAGGATTAGGAGGAACACTAAAAAGTTATGTCCATAATAGGGAAGGATTTTGTAAAGGTCTCCCTTTCTTTCCCATAGAAAAATACTGGTTCCTATTTCACGTCAATTACGTTGGCACCATGACAATACATTACTTTGAACGCTGGCTGGAATGCAAGAAGACAGTGAAGCAAGCGCCAGGTTCTTTCCTGTCTGTCAGATCAAACCAACTGACCTGGGGCAGAGCTTGCTGCTGTACCCCTTGCTCAGTCTCCAGGCGAATATGAAGACAAACACAGTCACGGCCCAGACCTCAGGGTCAGACATCAGAGGCCAGTAATTTCGACAGTAGCCTAAAACACTATGATGGATCTGCAAACATTCAGATTTCTCAAGCTCACAGATTCTTCTGTGTCCAGTTGATCGACGAGACCATCAGAGGCATTCTTCGCACTGTTGCAGTGCTTTACCCATCTTCTTTGGTGTTTTATCCACTTTTTCCACTAGAGCCCTTAGGATATTCATCATAGTTATTTTAAATTGCAGCTCTGATGATTTCAAAACCTCTGCCATATCAGAGTCTGGTTCTAATGCCTGCTCTGCCTCTTCACTGTGTTTCTGTCTTTAGTGTGCATTGTGATAATACGTTGAAAGTGAGTATGATGGACTGGGTAAAAGGAATCCAGTACCGGCTCCAGTGGTGGTTTCTGTTCCTGGGCTTCCACTCTGTGGGTCTCTGTATCTTCTTGTTTCTCTGACTTTGGGGTCAGAAGTTTGTCTATGGATCTAAGAAGATGGAACTAATAATTGTTGATTGTTTTCCATTTATTCAGCTTTTTTCTTGTTGTGAGGACGGGAGTGACAATTTGCAAGCTCTACACGCTAGACCAAAAACTGGTTCCTTACATTTAGACTTTTAAGGAAAGGAAAACGTGTTAGAGAAATGCTTATCATTAGCCTAACCAGGTTGTCCAGCCATGGGATGAAGGGGCGAAGACTGCTCATGATCTTTTAGCTGTGAAATTCCTCATGGCAAAGCACAGATCCAGCACTGATACCACAGTCGATGAAAAGTGAAAGTATTCCTTTTCGTTTATCTTTTTAATCCACACAACTCTGGCTTTTTAAAGAATGAATGTGTCATGTTCCTCCTGGCACAGAAGTCCATTTCCGTGAGCATAAAGCACCCACAAGTCCACATACAAGGTGGATGTGGCAGTGAGGGCTATGTATCCAAATGTTATTGGCGACTCTGAAATCCAGAGGCCAGTGGCTGGGAAGAGAAGGGAGGTAAGCAGAGCAAAGCAGGAGTAGTATTTTCTTGCATTCCTGCCATGGGACAGGCAAGGAAACTTGAGGAAAGCCCTACTACGGCCAGGAGTCAGCCCTTGTGTTTCCTTAGAAGAGAAGCAGCGAAGGGAGAAGCAGAGAGCTCTGGAGCCAGGTTGTGGGAGACACGAGGCTGCTGAGAGCCATGAGGCTGGCCGGGAGCTGAGCTTGTCGCAAAGCTTCCCAAAAGCTCATCAGTACTAATGGATTTCCTGGATTAGGGACCACAACGACACCAGGAAGGCGGTGTCCACAGAACCCAGCTGTATCAGGGCAACAGCAGGAATGCAAAAGGCAGACAGATGGCAGCAGCCAAGGTCACCCAGGTGTCTGCTCTCCATGGTGCCCAGATCTGGTTTCCTGTGGCTGCCGTAACAAATTACCATCAACCTAAAACAACAGATGTTTCTTCTCACAGTTCCAGAGGCCAGAATCTGAAATCAAGGTGTGAGTAGGACAACGTTCCCCTAGAAAGCTCTAGGGGAGGATCCTTCCTGGCCTTCTCAGGCTTCTGGTGGCTCATGGCATTCCTTGGCTTGAGGCTGCATCCCTCCAATCTCCGCCTCCATCTTCACAAGGTCTAGCCTCTGCTTCTGTGTCTTCTCCTCTTTTGTCTCTTATGAGGACACTTGTCATTGGAGCTAGTACCTCTCCACTCCCCTTGCAGGTAATCCAGGATAATCCCATCTGAGATTCCTAATTTAATTATATTTGCAGGGCCTCTTGTTTCCAAATAAGGTCTCATTCGCAGGTTCTAAGGACTGGGGGATGGATCTACTTTTGAGGCCACCATTCAGCCCACCTACTACATAGCATGCGTTTATAGTCTCCTAATCACAAAGCCTTAAGGGTGTAATCAAGGAGGCACTACCCCGGCTGCAAAATACGATGACTCATCATTCACAATGACAAGGAGAGCTATGTTAAAACGTCCAGAGATGGGAAAATTTTACAGACTTATTCAGAGTGGACAACTTTATGATTCCTTCCCTGCAACAGATGAGGAAACAAGTAAAGGAGATTGTTCTGCCGTGGAAAGCTTCGTGGCTGACTGTCATAGATAAGGGCTGGGGCACTCCCTGCTTCAGTTCCTGGTGTGCTGTGAAAACTGAAAACACGTGATTAACCTTTCACTCACCAGCACATTGACGGTGCAGCTCATGCGGTTTTCTTTGTTCTCGTCGTGCATGATGGTTCTATAATCCAAAAGCCTTTCCATTAAGCGCACAACGAGTTTTACAAAAGTTTCTCCTGTTTTGGCGAGGTATTTATGCTTCCTGCAGTGCTCCAGAAGGCTGAAAAATAATTATACACACCTTGTTAATCACACTCAGAAAAAGAAACTCAACCGAGGTGCAATTTTAACTATTTTCCATTATTAACACATTTTAATTATTTCTGGGCTACAAAGTTCATTGTAGTCTAATTACGGTCTCCCTAATTCTCTCTCCCTGAGAGATATAGAGCTCTATATCTCTCCGACATAAATCCCACTGCTAATCAACACTTACATTTTATCAAATAACACTTTGTACTGTTCGTCTCCTCTGCCTCCTTCCACTTCATGATCCAGCTTGGTGATGATCTCATTTTCAAACTATAATTAAACAGAGGAAGCGTAAATAATCAGCATGGCGGGTATTTCATTTTATGACTTGAGTGTCAATAGCACATAAATCAACAAGAGAGATCATCCAAGACGCTACCCTCTGCCTTTGAAGCCTCATTTAAGAGTTGCCAACACAGAACCCCTGGAGTTTCTGATGATCCCCTGCCACAGGGGGACCTTTCGTTTCCTTTTCTGGTTAATGGAGCCTGAACATGCATGTCCTGATAGCAGGAGCAAGAACCAGGGGAAGAAAGACAAGGAAACTGTAGGGGGAAAAAAAAATCAAAGCACAGCATGGAAAAAAGTCTCAAATTTCATCTCTACGAACACGTAACATCCAAAATAGCTCGTTGGTTCCTGAAATGAGCAGATGGTGTTTCTCCTGCCAGTGAAGAGTTCTCGGCAATCTGAAAACATCCTAGGGGCCACTTAGCTGCCATTCCTTGATAGATCCTAGTGAAATACCTCACTCTGGCTGAAAAAATGTTCTAAAGAGCAAGAGGAGCAACGTTCCTAAAGACAGACCAGCAGGCACCTCAAGAAGGTCCATCTCCAGCCGATCCTCCATCCCCAAGCTTCTGATTAAATTTCCTGGGAATCAGGGTGCAGAAGGGTTGCCAGTATCAGCTAGTTATGTCTCAGATCCATGCTTTTAGAAAAACTCTAAATTCTGGAGAGGTGGAAATCTCTAAAACGTCTTCAAGCGTCTGATCAGGCTGAAAAAAACCTCAATAACAATGGACGTGTTTTCTCCATCCTCACTGCCCAGTTCCCCATCCCTGGCAGAGTTCACAGCCACCTCAGTACTGGGACTCTGGCCTGGTGATCAGCCATGTTGCAGGGGACCCTGAATTACCATTGACTTGTGCCAGTAGCAAGGAAGGGCTGTGAGATTGTTTGTTCACATAAATATGAGACATGCACACTCTAAACTGAAAGAAGATAGACAAAGGAAGAATTGAAGAAAGCTGAATTCAGGGTTCAGAAAGCAGGTACGCCACGGGCATGTACGCAAGGGTCTCCAGGATCTCTTTAAAGCCATGTTCAATCACCTACTTTCTCAGGCAACAATGCTCAAGCCATCCACTGTTATTAGGATCCCAGTGGAATTTAAGCTGAGTGAGAGGAAAAATTTTTCTTTGGTCATTGCTCTAGCCAGCCCCAAAACCTCAAACAGTGCCTTTGATGCTGTAATGGAATGAATGTGCTGTGTGTATAGAAACTATTGAAGACAGTTGGTCTTAGACCAACTGAGATTGGATAAAGTTCTTAGACTGGATAAAGCTGGAGAGGGCTTCATATGTCAGCAAAGGAGTGGTCTACAGCGTTGATAAATCACAACCTGCATTCTTGGCCAAGCCAGGCCCAGAAGTGAAAACAGCTCATCCAGAGTGCCTGTGACAGACACTGTGGGCACCAGAGACTTGGGGATGCCTCAGCAGTTGCAGGTGACTATGGCCCCCTGAGAAGCAATAAGCAAGGAGTGGTGATACCCAAGGAGGGGCCTCAAAATGGACACAGACGCCCTGCCTGTCCTTGATCAGTACACACTGCCCAAAGCCACAGCTGTATCACACTGCAGATGAAACACAGGCTTTCAGGGCTGGAGAGAAGTATTGATTCTTGCCTGACATCAAGGACTCAGTAACATTCCCAGAACCTGGACCTTAGCGAATCTCTCCAATTTTCTTCTTGATCTTCTCCACGGTCTCTTCCCCCAAATAAACACTTCTTTTGATTCTGTCTGGCCTAAGAAGTTGAGGGATTTTTAGACAGATGGTTCTATTGAAGGAGGAATGACTTGCTTTATTTTTTTCACCTGAAATCTCACATTAACGATTTTTACCGTAAAATAACAACCTTTTGATACTAAACACTACTATCCTGCTCTTTACAGAAAATAATTCTGCAAAAGGTAGTTCTTTTTGGAATCAGATACAAGGGAGAACACTTGGTAGTAGCCCAAAAGTTGGCATTTCAAGGCAGTCCCATCTCCCAGGTGGTGGCATGATCCAGACAGACTTCAAAGACTAAATATTTGATGAGGGCTGATGCTTTAGGACAGATAATAAAGACACAAAATTAAATTAAATTTAATCAAAACATGATTCAGTTTCATGTATTTTTAATGAGTACAGACAACACGGAAGGTACAGAGAATGCAGAGAAAGGTGCAGAGAAACATGGGCAAACACACAAGCATTTAAAATCGCTCCTCACTGGTCAATCCGAAGGGATCTGAACGTGGAGTGTAGGTTATGAAAACGGCATGTTTTCTCTGCTTCCACGTAAATCTAGCTGTCACAAACACCGGCAATGGGGAAGCTACAGCTACCTGGCTGTGCTGCTGATCAAATTTTGACTGAAGAACTTAATGATTTCCAAAAAAAGTGGATGAATAGTAAGTCCATCACAACACAGCTGATTCTAATTTTGCTAACCCTAGTCCAAACTAAGTAATTTACACAAACACCTGGCCACCCTATTCTGTTTATTAGCAAGAATTCAATACCAGAGATCTACAGCTAGCCTCCAATTCTAGGATCCTTGTTAATTTTTACAGAACACACTCGAATTGATTCGCTAGTGTGCTGTGAACTGTTACTATAATCAGAATGAAATGATCCTGTCCCACTAAATTGGAGACAGTACACTTGTTGATAGAGCAGAGCTGGTTTTATAAAAATCATGCTTATTATCTTCCTCGTAAATGCACATTGTCTGCTGATTTGCAACAAGGTTCTCTGTGGCTGGGATAAAATTAGCAAGGGTTTCCTGCGTTGCTCAAAAGGTGGCAGAGGCTCACTCACATAATAAGCAAAACCATTATATTTTCTTCTCTTTTCTGAATCACTAATATTGCTACAAAAATACTCACAGGGTGTCCAACTTAAAACACTGAACAGAGAGTCTCTAAGCGTCTGATACCAGCGGCCCTCTGAGAACATGAAACAAGAGAACACTTATGGACAGAAGGCCTTTCGGAAAGTTGCTGTTAAATTGAACATGATGGAATCAGGGGGCTGAGCTCAAAGCGGTATTGACATCTTGTTAATTCAATTAACTTGAAAAGGAACCACTGCTTTTGCCACTCACTGCCACAGTTAACCATAGGCTATGGCACCTATCTGAAAGATCATGGAGAGAAGGATCCCAGTAGTGCTAATCCAAAAGCCAATTATATGTGGTTTGGAATGCATAATTTTTGTTTTGGGTGAGATTTACTATTCTTACTAATGCATGTATAATTTTATACGTCTGTAATGTCTAAAATCAGCCTGCACTTGCCAGCCAGCCAGGACCACGCTTTACATAATAGAAGAGCTCCAGCGTTCTGTGGGAGTGCAGCAGGAGGCTGCGCCAGGGTGGAAAGGTTTGCACAGATCACTCACCACCTTGACGGAGGGCTCCGAGGTCATCAAGAGCTGGGTGAAATCTGACATCTATGGACATGGTCTGCTAAGTACATTAGCAGAAGGGCTTATTTGACCCTTTACAAATAAACCTTAGTACAATGCTGCTGTTTGCCCAGAGTGCTCTAGTTTCTCCTGTATTTAAAGAAAAAAATGCTCAGAAGATACTGCAGGCAGGGGCATGGTGTTGGACCACCTCCTGGTTTCAGAGGGCACCAAGGAATCAGACTCCCTCTGCCTTCTCTCCCCGGAATGGGGCCAATCTGATGAAACTGCACAGCCACACCTTACCCCTTGAGGATGTGCAGGAGGAGGTGGGCGGGAGAAAGTTGCTGGACTGCATCTGGGTGGAACTCAGGACTGAGTTCACTCAGCCTTGAGTTCCTGTGCTCAGACACATTCATATCTTTATATAGAGAGCATTCTTCTTGCCTAACTGCTCCGAAAACTTAATTACACACTTAATTAATCAGTGGCACTTCATCCCACATTCAAAAACCTCCACATCCTCCTACGTCCACCAAGCAGGGGGCTTGCTGACCTTGGAGCTCTCGTGAAACACTCATGAGCCTGGAGGACCCAATGCAACTCACGGGGAGCTGCCTGGCTGGGGAGCTGTCCATCGCAGGCCATGACACCTTGCTGATGCCTGTGACTGGTGCAGCGGCTCCTTACATCTACACGGACACAGATCAGAGTGACTTTAGGGCTGCATGCAATTCCAGTGGAGTCTGGGAACATGGCCTCAAAATTAGTCCTGTTTAATTTGGTTAAAGGGGATTATGGAAGTTTGAGAATCTCTTTGTTGGAGGGCTTTTAAGAATGGAATTCAATATAGTCACTGCTCCTGGAGTCAACGATATTGGTTTCCACAGCCTCTCAGACCATCTTTGGGTCTGGATTCAATGAAACAGAAGCCTCTTGTGCCGTATTTCCTCTTTAGGCAAGAATTATTTTGACATCGAAAGCAAAAATAAACAAACCAACAAATAAAATCCCAATGAATTAAAGAATAAACAAGACAGAATTGCTACCAAACTCATTCACATTCATATTACAGTGGAAAATACATTGGCCTTTCCACCAAGTGGCAGAAGCCGACGACATTCACCCGGCTGTTCAATTACTGGCTTCTGGTTACCGGCACGGGCAGCGGGAAGAGATTATTCAAACAGGAGCCTGGCAACACTGATGACATGAAGATTACTCATGTTCTAATACTGTTAGGACTAAATGGGAATTTCTGGAAGTTGTGGAGCATTTTACTGAGCCTCACAAAGATGACAGAAAATAGCTCCATGATTGAAAATATTATTTTTGCTGGGCAGCTTTTTCCATTCCATTTTTATTAATGGTCTATGGCCCACATGGTCATTTGCTGCAATTCTCAGCTGTTAGTTCTGTATTTTCGAAAGGCATAACAAATGGAATTCTTTAAAAAGATGCCAGGAGGGAATTTAAAAGTATGCTTTTTATTATGAAGCAAAATCCAGTATGAGGGTGAGACTTGGGGTGTGGTCCATGGGAGGGCAGGGTTCTTGGTGAGGTAGGGAGAGTCAGCTTAAGGCCAGGGGC